CGGTTCCAACCCATAGCAAACCTGTATAGGGTTTCCGAGGAGAGTCTGGTGGGTTTGAACCATCGACCAATTTTGTAGTCCAGCGCATTAACCCACAGTGCCACACCAGGACTCCATATATGTATATAGCAATAAAAAAAAATAATAATGGGATAAATAGTCATGAAATATTAATAAATCGTCGCCTTACCAAGAAACATGTAGGACCTCCTAGAAATAAAAGTCAAAATTGTTATAAGATTTTAAAAAAACAAATAAATGTGAAAATTTTTTCTTAATATTATAGTAGTGAAACGTTGCAAGGAGTCTTCAATAGTGCAAACAGTTATTTGCTAGCTGCTAACTGAAAGGTTTAAGGAGCTCTGGTAGCCTAGTGGTTACGAGTTGGGCTGCTAACCTCACAGTCAGCAGTTCAAAACTACCAACAGTTCCACCGGAGAAAGATGAGGCTTTCTGTTCCCGTAAATATTTACAGCCTCAGAAAGCCTGTACAGGGTCGCTGTGGGTCGGAACCGACTCTACAGTACTTAACAACAACTGAAAGGTTTAAAGTTTGAATTCACCCAGAGGTGTCTTGAAAGAAAGGTCTAGTGATTAGATACTTCTCAAAAATCTGTTACTCTGCCCTGTGGCTCAATTTTCAGCCAAGCAATATACATACTGGGGACAGCAACACTAGTATGGTACGTGACACCATAGAATGCTTAACAGTTCAAGATCAAAGGGCAACATTTACCTAAGGTCAGAGTTTAGAAGGTTTGGGACAGAAGGAGGAATGGGTACAAGAAGCTTAAGTTGTAGTCATCTGATGTTTAATACCACACTGGATTGTGAATCTTCACAGACTGGCCACTGAATTTTTATCAGTGTCTTAAATTTGTTTTTACTACAACTGAGGATGTTAAGATATCTGTCAGATGGTGGCGTGGGGTATGATCTGCAGCAGGTGCCACCGGTGTTACTTAGGCTGGCACTGAAGTGAATCTAGTGTGGATGAACTGAGCAACCTCTCTAAATAGTTTCACAAATTCGCATTGATTGGTAAGTGCTGTGGAGGGCAGGTCTGTGTCCGGTTAGGTTTAGATCCATATGCTTTAATGGTGGTTTAGTGGTGCAGACAACCACTGATGAAAAATGCGAACCTTCATGAGGTGAGATGCTTGAATAGCTTGATTAGCCTATATCCACATGGCAAGGGTAAGGAACTATGTTGTTGAGTGCCGTCGAGTTGGTTCCGACCCATAGCGACCCTGTACAGGGTTTCCAAGGCTGTAAATCTTTACGGGAGCAGAAAGCCTCATCTTTCTCCTGCGGAGCAGCTGGTAGTTTCGAACTGCTGACCTTAAGGTTCACAGCCCAATTCGTAACCACTACGCTACCAGAGCTCCTAAGGAACTATAAGCAAGAGCCAAATTTTTCTCAAAAATTAATTTGAAGCCCGATCCAGCATATGTTGGAAAGAAAGGGCAGTCAGTCAGTCATGTTGTTGTTAAGTAGAGCATGTTGTTGTTAAGTGCTGTTGAGTTGGTGACTCATGGTGACCCTGTATAGGGTTTCCAAGGAACGACTGGTGAATTTGGATGGCTGACCTTGTGGTTCAAACCGACCTTGCAGTCAGTCTAGCTTTATCCCACAGTGCCACACCAGACTCCATATCAGAGGATTGGGATGTTAATTTTATGTAAGGAAGAATTGTTTTTTAAGTGAATGGTACTAAATCCCACCTTGTTGTTAAGTGCCTTTGAGTCAATTCCAACTCATAGTGACCCTGTGTAGGGTTTTCAAGGAGCAGCTAGTGGGTTTGAACTGTTGTTGAACTGTTAGCAGTCCAATGCTTATCCTAAAACAAAGCATGTAAGATATCCATACAGTATCTTATTCTAAGCAGTATAACTTCCTGGCAGACTCTTAAAGGTTAATGGTGTCCAAGTAGCAGTAAGCAAAGTGACTTGTAAGGTTTGGAGTACAAGATTAACCTCCCTTTGAGCCTAAGTTTCTTCGTATGCAAAGTAATATTAGTACCTACCTTAGAGTTGTGAGGGTTACATTAGAGACTGTATTTATGTTATGTAATACCTGCCACAGAGTACTCAGTCATTTATTATCATATTATTGGAACATGGTGGCTCCATATAATAAGCACTGGATTGTGAACCACAAGGCCACCATATGAGCCCACCAATTGCTCTGTGGGAGAAAGATGAGCCTTTCTGCTCCCATGAAGATTTAAAGCCTTGGAAATGCTATACAGGATGGCTATGAGTCAGAATCGACTCAACACCTAACAACATCATGTTATTACTATTATTATCTCAGATAGTTGCTTGAGATCACTATAATTGCGATTCATCAAGAAGTCTGAATATAACAATAAAAATCAATAAAAGCTAATGAACACTTTTTTTTTTTTTACAAAATTTTAAAAAAGGAATCTGGTATAATTAAAATGAACAGAATATTATACCCATGAGTATCACAGACGTATCCTACAATTTCCCCAAATTGCACTATAGAGTCAACGTAGTCCAATAAAAATCTCAACAGGGTTGCTCTTGGTACTTAAGAAGCAAATTCCAAAGTTTTTATGGCACTGATTACATTCTTTGAGTTGTGCAACCTTTCACTGCTTCATGTGCTTCCTGCCTAACTCACTCTTGAGGAAGACACTGTCAAGAATAACATAACCTACATATACATATTATTTTTTAAAGCCCCAACAAAAATGCATACGCATTTATTTAATTATTCTCATATTGTGATGTCAAGTGCCATCGAGTGGTTATGACTTACAGTGACCCTATAAATGGTTTCCGAGGAGAGACTTGTGAGTTTGAACTGCTGACCTTGAGGTTAGCAGTCCAGTGCTGATCATACAGCTCCACACCAGAATATATACAGATATAGATATAGATTGTAAGTCATGGGAATACTGTAGTTTTGCTCAGACTTTATATATATATATGTTGTTAAGTGCTGTCGAGTCGGATCCGACCCATAGCGACCCTGTACAGGGTTTCTGAGGCTATAAATCTTTACGGGAGCAGAAAGCCTTCCACAGCTGGTAGTTTTGAACTGCTGACGTTAAGGTTCTCAGCCCGATTTGTAACCACTACGCTACCAGAGCCCCAGGATTCCAACCCATAGCAACCCTATATAGGGTTTCAAAGGAGCGGCTCGTGAGCTTAAACAGCCGACCTTGCAGTTCAAACCGACTTACAGCGAATTATATTAACCCACAACACCATACTGGGACTCTCTCTAAATATACACACACACACATGCACACATATGTATACACACATATATATAATTGTTGTTCAGTGCCTTCAAGTGTGTTCTGACTCATAGCGATCCTATATAGAGCTTCCGAGGCTATAAAATCTTTGCAGGAACGGAAAGCCTCATCTTTCTCTTTTACATACATACAATATATATTGTTGTTGTTGTTGTTATATGTGTGTGGATATATATATATTTTAAGTTTGTGGAAATTTCCCATTACCTTTTCATTTCATTTTCCATAAACTTTTTGAAGCCCCCCTCACACAAAATGCCCTAACAGTAATATTGTTGTTGCTCTTAAGTGCCATCAAGTCGACTCCGACTCATAGCAAGCATTTCCATGTGAAAGCAGATTTTATTTTGTGATCATACTTTTAAAGCTAACAACTGTAATATAGAGAGCTTTAAAAGTGTGATCACAAAATAAAATACGCTCCCACATGTAACTGTTGAGGTGTGATTATCCTAGAAGTCATAAAGAAATAATCAGAAGCCTTTACCAACATGTAGAAGCACCTAGAATGTAGACTGACATGTGTAGCATTGTCCTCAATGATGTCTTCATAAATGGTGAACCTCTCTTAGTAAAGTCTGAACAAAACTACAGTATTCCCATGATTTCCATGGAAGGTCCTTTCCTGGAAAATTTGTTAGATGCCTTCAAGTCACTTCTCATAGTGAACTGAACCTGTGTGCAACAGAATGAAACACTGCCTTATTCTGTGCCATCTTCACTGTCCTTATGTTTGAACCCATTGCTGCTGCCACTGTGTCAATCCATTTTGTGGAGGGTCTTCCTCTTTTTCACTGACCTTCCACTATACCAGGCATAAAGTCCTTCTACAGGGACTGGTCCCCTCTGATAACATATCCAAAATACTTGAGGTGAAGTCTCACCATCCTCCCTGCTAAGGAGCGTTCAGACTTTTTTCAAGACAGTTTTGTTTATGTTCATAGTAGCCCATGACACAATATTAATATTCTTCACTAACACCACAATTCAAATGCAGCAATTCTTCTCTGGTCCTCTTAATTCACTGTCCAGCTTTCATGCATGTATAAAGCAATCGAAAATGCCGTGGCTTGGGTCAGGTGCACCTAGTCCTCAAGGTGATATCTTTTGCTTTTTAACACTTTAAAGAGGTCTTTTGCAGATTTGCCTGTAAAATGTAGCACATATTAAAACCATGTTAAAAAATGCTTTGTGCTTATATGTAAAACTGAGGGGCTAGACTCAGCAACTTTTTAAAACTCACATGAGTCAGATGATAACTGCAGACCTACCCACACAAATGTTGCAGGAAGACCAACATGCCTGACTTCTGTCAGTGACACATACCTGTCATGACAATAGAAAGACCCCAGAGAGTGGACCGGTCCCTGTTGGGTTAACAAGAGTTAAGTCACAGGTCTGGCAGAAGTGCGATCATACTGTATTTGTCTTCATAATTTTAAAGTTACTCATTTCACCCAGTCACATGTGGGATACAGAGAGTGATTTAAGACCAGGAGAGTGAGTGAGTGAGTGAGTGAGTGAGTGAGTGAGTGAGTGAGTGAGTGAGTGAGTGTGTGTGTGTGTGTGTGTATGTATGTGTGTGCGTATTAAAATTTTTGTTCTTATCCTTGTTAATTTTCTTCTCTTAGGAATCAAGTCCTAAAAGTTTAGAATTGAATTTGTCTAATGCCAAGTTTTATTTTTCATTTAAGGTTATTTCTGATGCTTGGAAGCTATTCTTTCAGCCACAAAGATGGTAGTAAATCTTTGCCTTCCACAGTTCAGACCAAGAATTCACTGCAACAAGGTAAACTAAACAAATACACATAAATGCAATAAATAAACAATATGTATTTTTTTCTATTTTTTCCCCATTTCCTACCTGTATATGGGGACTTAAATCCAGGCTTCATATATGCTTAAGTATGCACGTGTCAAGCTACTATCTAGACGCATAGCACTTACAAAGTGAGCTCTGACTTGTGTTATGAAGGGTCGTCTTCATTGTTTTCTTCCCTTTTTGATGATAAAATATAATTCCACTCAAAGTCTTTACTAAAGTAGAAATATTCTCTCCCCCCACAGTTGTTCTTGCTAATTTTGAATGCTAGAAATAATTTATATTTGTTATTTGGATTCTTTGTTCTTTATTATGTGAATTATGTACAAAGGAGGATATCTTTCCATAATCCAGAGCTGGGAATAGGGAAACAACAAAGGAAGAATTTAATCCCTCTGTATTTGGAGTTTCTGTACATATATACTGTTTCAGGCTCTCAGATCATTAGGCTAACAATATGCCTACATTGGTTATAGTAAGTGCAGGTTTCCTCCACTGTCTGAAAATAGAGTGCACCTATGAATCCTTTTGTAAACCAAGATAGTGTAAAGAAGCAATTCCCATTTATTTATATGGAAAAATTTTTGAGTTTTCCCAGACCCCAAATCAGCCAACCAAGTCATGCCAAATACTATATACAACCTCAAATTACACTAACATAAAGTGTTCAGACAGTTCAAAGCTATGGCTCTTTGGTGCTGAGGTGCCGACTGTCCTTCCCAGGAAAGGAACTTGGTGACACCACACTCACTGCTCCCTGCAAAACAGGCTTTCGTCTTTTTTTGTCCAAGTGATAGTACTCTTCAGATTCCTTTCGTTAGCAAAAATGAGCTAATGTAGGTCTTTCCTAAAAGTGAAGTTGGGTAAAGCAGTTTCAAAATGTGGAGGACACCGGTATTAAAATATTAAGAGGAGGAAATCACCACTCCCTAAGCACATCCACTTCTAAATTTTCCAGTCATTGTGGTCCTTGTCACTGTGCACACAGTTAGCAAGTTTCATCATTCATAGGCTTACAAGAAGCTTGTTTGCTAAGCCTTCCTAAAAGGAAAGTCATTACTGGTAGGGTGCAAATACAAGACTGAGAAATGTAATGAACATTTTGGTTTTTCCTAAAGCTATGTTTTTATCCTTTAAAGTTAAAAAAAAAAAAAGTATATTTTTATTTTCTCCTCTCAGAGATGTTAGTTTGAAGACCAGATGTTAATTGTTAAATTCATGTTAAATTGAAGGATTGAGTACAATTTTATTGCTCATCTGTTTTTAAGATAGACAGTATTTGGGGACATAACTTAGCCTTTGACCTTATCTTGAGAACCTAAAAAAACACACCGAAAAACTGAGAGGATTACTTTAGTAAAAGAAAGTTTAAATGATGAACTAAAGATTTTTCTTAGAAATAGCAAGTTCTTGAAAAACTGGTTGTCTTTATTTGTACCTCATTGAGTCAATGTATCTCCATTTGTCATTAAACCTAGATATCAGCTGATGGTTATGAAGTAGACAATCTCATCTCTGAAGACCTCACAAAGAGAAGTCGTGGCTTTAGGACAGAGTATTTCATTAAGCCACCAGTCTATGTGACAGTTTCTTTTCCCTTTAATGTGGAAATCTGTAGGATTAACATAGACCTCACAGCTTGGGGAGGCCACAATGTCACTGGCCTGGAAATGTACACGTCTGCCTTATCCAGCACATCTTGGAGCCCCCCTGAGTGCCAGACCCCAGGCCCAGCTGAGCCATCCATCCCTGACAAAGAGGCATTCACCTTGGTAGGCAAAGTCTTGTTGAAAAATCAAAACCAAGTGATGTTTAGCCACCGGGGCTTCAAGGCCAGGCCACCTTTTGGCCCGATGGAAGCCACACTCCCCTCTCCTGCTATTGTGGCCCAAGAGCTCTGGAATAAAGGGGCTCTTTCCCTGAGCCATGTGGCCCATCTCAAGATCTGTATCACCCATGTGACAGGCAGCGGTATTCCGTGCATCAAGCGATTGGAAGTGTGGGGTCAGCCGGCCAAAACTTGCTCCCAAGAGGTAATAGAAAGTGTCTTGCTGGTTGCTTCAGAGAGCCTCCCTCCAGGCTTGGCTCTACAGGCCCCAGCATTGCCCATGGAGAGTGACTGTGACCCTGGTGGCCAGTCTGAGGGCCACCAGGCCTTGTCAAGCCTGCAGAAGCTGGCTGAGGTAATTCGGGATGTGCCTGAGGAGTTCTTGGACCCCATCACCCTGGAAATCATGCCTTGTCCTGTGCTGCTACCCTCAGGCAAGGTCATCGATCAGAGCACACTGGAGAAGTGTAACCGCAGTGAAGCTGCATGGGGCCGGGTGCCCAGCGACCCTTTCACGGGGGTAGCCTTTACTCCACACGCGCAGCCCCTGCCTCACCCGTCCCTAAAGGCCCGGATTGACCATTTCCTGCTCCAGCATTCTGTCCCTGGCTGCCACCTGCTTGGGAGAGCACAGACTGCAGTGGCATTGGCCCCTTCTTCCATTGTTCTGCCTTCTCGAAAAAGGAAGATGGAGCAGGCTGAACAGGCCCTGGACAGTAGCCTTGGCATACATGCTTCCTGCTTTTCTAACACAAGCCCTCTGATCTCACCGACTACCTCAGAGCACACCGCTAAGAAAGTGAGAGCTACCAGTGAGCTTGGCCTGACGCACATGGACTGTTCAACAGGTAATCTCAATGCTACATCCATAGTCATCCCAAATCTTCCCAGGTGGCACTTAGCACTGATGGTTTTGTTGCTTTTTCCTCAGGCTGATACCCATTCTGCTGCTGCTGATTTCACATTGTGGGGCTTTCAGCATTGTCTTCAGACCAGAGATAATCCAGATATCTTGGAGGGGTTGGTGTATGTTCTTCTACTGTTCCAAGACTTGCATCTTTGTTTCTATTCTCCATTCACTACTAGTGCCCCCATGGCTTCTGCCTTCCTCCAGTCTTTTAAGTCCCCTGCCTTCTGCCTTTTAAGTCCCCTGGCCAAGTTAACACTTTACTCTGGCCTCGAATCTCTGGGAGAGCTAGCAGTCTCTCACAGCAGACCTTGTCTTCCTTCCGGTATCCTCTTTACAGTTACTCATGTATCAATGGGCTTCTTTCTCCAGGGAATTGTTTCTAACCTCTATAGAGATGTACTGATACAAGAGACTGAGATGCCATGGACACAATGAAATGTACTTGTAAGGATTTCCTTAGTCTTACTGAAGAGAGAAGACACATTGAAGATGTTGTTATAGTGTGTGGTTACATTGGAACCAGAGCTTACAAACCTGTTCTTTTTGGTTTGATCCCTCTTTTGAGAATTTACTGTCTGACTTACTGAATTAGAATCTACAATTTAACAAGATCCCCAGGTGATTCTTTTTTTTTTTTTTTTAATTTAAGGTTTTTATTGTGGATTGAGT